CCTTGGAACCGAATGGTATGCCCATAACAAAAGACCTGGCCACAATCACAGCAACCTGTCTATCCTTTGTCCTCACTGCAGTGGGTTCTGGGAGAAGTTTAATTAATCATCACATTGGAAGTGAGAACACTGTGGACCCGGCAGCAGAGCATTCTGGACAGCTCTGAGCCAAAAAAGGGCAGAAAGACATTTTTAGTCCGCGGTGGGAGCCACTGTGCAGATGGTTGTCTGGTCTGTGTGTCCATTTGAGAAAGAGCGCTTGACATGTAACATTTTCTTCCTGGTATAATCCAGAGCCTTGCCTTCTGCCACCACCTACTTCAACTGTTTTTGGGGTGCAGCCAGGAGGAGGATTTTTTCAGAACAGCCTTTAAATATTTCAGTGCCAGTAAAAAACATTTGCATAATTCAAAGAAAAAAGACCTTGAATCCTCCATTTGCAAGTGCAGGACTGTAATAACCCAGACAAGGGAGAGGTTTAGAACACTTTCAAGTTTTTCAGTACATAAGATGATCTAGTCAGATCACTAAGTCTGTTTTTGCAGTTAGAGCATTCCAGCCAACATAGAACTCTTACTGAATTTTAAGTGGTTTGTTCTAACTTACTGTCCAAGCTTTTCTGCAAGGACTTACTTTTAGTGAACAGACAGCACCCTGACAAGCGTGCTGTCTTGTTGGGCTCAGGCCGGATGAGTGGTGACAGATACTGAGGCAGACTGGGTCGCTGTGCACACCAAGTTGCAGTCTCCTTGCTTTGATGTTAAACTTCTTAGGCTACTTCTTTAAATAGCCCCTTCAATTTTCTTCTGCCATATTGTTTTTGTCACTGGGATTTTGATGTCACTTTATTGGTGAAGTAACTATTGCACATATGCCTCACAATGTGTAGGGAGAACATAAGTAATGACCATAAACTATATTTAGAGGCACAAGTCTTAATCAAATGGGTTAGTGGCCCTTTTGAGACTTTGAATAGAGCTGAATATTGTATCCTCTCCTGAGAAAAATGCTTACCGAAATTCCAGGATTCTCATGGATTGCCACCTTCCTGTCCCCTCCAAACCTAACTGTGAACCAGCAAATCTGTAGAGTTCTCACCATGTTGAATTACATATACAAATGTGTGTGTGTGTGTATTCAAACTCTTATGTCACAAGAAGCCTATGTTAAAAAAAAACCAAAAAACTAAAGAACAAGCTGCAGAATGGGAAAGATTTTTGAAGCGCATCTTGGAAACATTCTTAGAAGTGGACCCCTTAGCCCTAGTCAAGCCCTCATGTCACTGCAGCTCTGGCCCACTTCTTGTCTGAAGCCTCTGGGCTCTGGAGAGCCCAGGTGTGAGGTGATGCATGATACCTCCATGCTTTGAACCCTAACCTTTGAAAATATCAAATGGTGACATCCACAGTTCTCCTGTCTGGGTAACAGGTTACTAGTGAGGCGCCCAGTAATCCTCTGATACCTCAAATTTCAGGTGTCAGCCAGGAGGGTACTGACAGCCCTCACTGAATTTGAATATGTTCTGTAAATTTCCACATCACCAGGCTAAAGACTGACATCTCAATCATTCCCCATCTTACTACAGGGATTGGTGAGTGAGACAAAGAGTTCAAAATCTTCTAGGAGAGTGGTCAAGCCATTTATTTGCATGTTTGCTTGTAGCTAGGGGCCCAGAATGGTCTCTATAAGTTTGGGAAAGGTTAAGAGGGGCGTTGCGATCTGTAATGAAAATAAAACTGGGAAGAAGTGGGTGCCTGCAACGCTTGGCTCCCGACCCAGCTATCTCCCTGGAAGCCCCGATTCAGTCTTCATCTCTGGAGATGGTGCGAGCACCTAGGCCCAGGATCCCTGTGGCTTGTGCATTATTTCCCAACCCAGGGTTGGGGGGGGCAGGAGGGCGGGTGGTGAAATCTAGTAAGCAGCAACTTAGAAAAAGACATCATTTGAAAGTGAGAATTGTACACTTGTGATCTCCTTAGGTAAAGTGTGAGGCTGTTGCATGTTGGAACTTAAGTTATCAACATTATTTTCTGAGCCCTTGGGGTTTATATATCATACTGTACAAAAGTATCTTTTAAACTAATGGCAAAAGACAGTGTTACCCCTCCCCCCAGTCTCAGTTACAGGTACAATCCTTTAAAAATAAATGCTATATTGGGCCCTCCCTGGTGGCACAGCAGGTTAAAGCACAGCCCTAAGAAGCTAAAGCCACCTCAGCACGAGCTCGATCCCCCTCCAGGAAGTGACCCACATGGCGCAGCAGACCTCCACTGGCTCAGCAGTGTACTTCGTCAGTTGGGCTGTTCTGCTCCCCATTCTGCCTCTGGTGAATCCTCACCCCCTGCATCTCTGGCCTGCACCCCAGTTCTGTATGCATAAATAAATAAATCTTTTAAAATAAATAACTGCTATTGTAGTTCCCACTTTAAAAATATCTCAAGTCCAAGACATTGTCCCCCGGCCCCCTTTACTATATGAGCAATAGTTGCTAGAACAAAATTCCAGTCCATGAGATGAATTTAACCAGTTTTTGTTTTCGAATTTTTCACTTTCTATTTTTTTGTTTTACCACAATGGGGGTGACAGTGAGTAATCATGTATTTTCAACATTTACCCTAGTCTCTTTTGGGTATTTTGTTTGATAAATTGAACTGTACTTACTTCCCATGCAACTAAGCGAGGCAGTGACAAGCACTTCTTTGAGATTCTTAAACAAAAGGGCAAAGGAGTAGTCAGAAGCTTCTAACCTCTGTCCTATGAAGCATTGGAACTGGGGTTCCGGGAACACTTCTCAGGGGCTGGTGTGAAGGAGAGGCGTCTGCCACGAGAGCGTTGCAGTGGACGAAGAGTGAGTACACCTGTCTGCAAGTGCCAAGAGCAGCACCTGTGCAGAAACACTCATTCCTCTGGGGGGCGGGGCAGCACGGTCCGGTTCTGGGGACAGTCCTCTTCTGGGCTGCGGACAGCCGATTTGCTGTATCTTCACATGGCAGCAAAAGAACAAGCTAGCTCTCTGGCCTTTTCCTCTGTGGGTACTAAGCCCATCCACAAGAGTGCTGCCCTCATGACCTACTTACTCCCAAAGGACCTGTTTCCATCACATTGTGGATTAGATTTCAGCATAGGATCTTGGAGTGGACACAAGCATCCAGCTCCTAACAGTAAGCTTTCCTTTTGCTGAGTGCAGTAGAACACTCAGTCAGCATGGCTTGTGTATGTGGGGATCCCTAGCTGTACCAGGATAGACAAGCCAGCGTTGGGTGGGTGGGGAAGAACTAATGCACTTCAACTAATGCCCAAACTAAAAGATCAAAGAAGTGACTTTCCGTTAATAGGACAGTGATATTTCATAACCCAAACCACACGTGGCATTATGTATAAGTGATCACTGCTGTCATCAGAAGTCTGTGTAGGAAGGAGCTAACTTCTTACCCTGGATCTCCTGATGACTTTCTGGTCTCAAAATAGATCAAGATGCCTATGTTATCCACTGTTGGTACAGAGTGACTTTTTTTTTTTTTTTTTTTTAAGAACATCAGTAGTCTACTATTGGAGTAGACTTGGCGCGTCACCCAGCCCTCCTAAGACTAAAGTTCTGGTTAACTTTAATATCATGGCTCGCAGTTGTTCGCTGTCAAACTATGTCAATACGCTGCTGTGCCCCTGACGCAGTATCAGTTGAAGAGTACGGTTTTGAAGAGAGTATAGATTAAAGGAGAAAGTAAAATCTTTAATTCCTTGGGTGGAACCATTCAAAACTATGCCAGTGTCATTTTACCTAATAACCTTTGAAAATACCCAGCAGAGTTTTTTCATTAGCTCTGTTGTAAATAATTTGATACCCTTTCAAATAATATCTTTTAGGTTGGCAAGGCTCTGATGAGTATATTTTGTTAGATACATATTTCTCTGATATTTTCAGGAAAAGTCAAAAGAGGTAATTCTTCCTATCTTATCCATTTAATTTTAGACAGAGTTTACTAAGACTGACTTTTAAAAAATTAATAGCTTTGCTGACATAATTTACTTACCATATGATCCATCTGTTGAAATGGACTGTACAAATAGCAGTTTTTAGAATATTCACAGGTTGTGCATCATCACTGCAATCAGTTGTAGAATGTCTTCATCACCCCAGAAAGCAGGAAAATCTGTTAGTAGTGCTCCCCTCTCCATCACCTCCCACCCCACCTGAGCCCTTGACAACCCATCCTCTCCTTTCTATCCCCACAGACCTGCTGATTCTGGACATAGCATACAAACCCAGCCAGACAGTCAGCGGTCCTTTGCGACCAGCCATGCAGTGTCCTTAACCAGCCTTTCAGTCCTTGTTACTGCCAAACAATATGTCATTGTAGTCACAGACCACATTCCATGTACCCATGCAGCGTTGATGGCATTTGAGTTGCTTCCATGTCGCGACTATGATGAACAGTGCTGCTGTGAACATGTGTGGGTACTTTCTTTTGCGAAAGTCTGGCTTTTTAGCGACTCAGATGCCCTTTTAGGTACCAGTGATGTCTTCTTGCTCAGCACCATATCTTTAGGAGCTTGAAAGGTCTGGACTGTAGACCGAGCAGCTGAGGCGCAGACAGGGTTGGCAGCTTCCCCGGGTGCACTGAGCTGGAGGGTGGAGTGGGCCCCTCATTCAGGTCTCTTGCTTCCAGGTTTGATGTTTTACCAGCTGGTACAGACACATGAAGGCCAAAGACCTAAAGCCTGAAGCGCATAGATTTGCACAAGCCCTATGGGCTTTTCCCATTGGTTGCTTCTTCCGTTTGTTGCTTACAAGAGTAAAATCTGAGCTGAAAACAAAAGGACAAGAACTTTGGAGTTAGAAGGCTCTTGGGAGATTTTTCTTGTCTAATATGCCCCTTAGAGGAGGACACCAAAGCCACTCTCCTCACTCCTTGCCCCACCCCTCCTTGTGCCCCTTAGGGCAGGCATTTGGGGGCCCAGGAGCTGGGGCAGGGTGGTGCTCAGCAACTGTCTCTGAACAGAATCCCGTCACCGGGCTGCTGTCAGCCAGTCATGAGCAGAAGGACGCCTGGGTTCGTGACAACATCTACAGCATCCTGGCTGTGTGGGGCCTGGGCATGGCCTACCGCAAGAATGCCGACCGCGATGAGGACAAGGCCAAGGCCTACGAGTTGGAGCAGGTAATGCTGTCCAGCACCGCCCCCCCTCACCCTGCGCGGCCTGTGAGGAAGTGGTCATGTGTGAGGACAGCCTGATGCGCGTTCCTCTCCATTTCTGCTGTGGAATATTTGGAGAGGCACTTGGGTGGTCTCAACGTCTGTTTCTCTTAGAAATCTTTTGCCCTCCATAAAGAAACCAGTAGAAAAAAACCACACTGAATAGGAAAATAGAGCATTCTGTTTTCTAACTGCCATCATTAGGCTGACATATGCCTTGTTGATTCTATACATAGTTGTATGTGAGGCGTCATTGTGAGTTGATAGCGTTGCTTTTAAAGCCAGCACGCCAAGCTGCACATCCCGAAGTGTGCACCCTTCAGAGAAGCCCCAGGGAAAGGATATTTATCCAAATAGTACTGCCACTGCTTTAAACATTTGGAGTTTCTCTTAAAAATGCCTTGCTAGTTTGAGTCATTCCAAAGCACTGTCTTCATTCATAGTCACCCTGTAATTTTGAACCTATTGGTGTTATTCAGCGTTCGTGCCTGTCACCATACAGCACAAAGAAGTCCGTTGACTGTTTTCCAAAATCAGAAACCCAGCCACCCACCAAAGTAAAGATTCCTTATCCATGGGTTTGTGGGAAAATAATCTGCCTCTGAGCTCAGAGGTGTTTTCAGAGTGATGCCTTTTGAAGTAGGGAGTGTGGCCGGTAAAAGCATGGACTTAATTCATCCTCAGTGTACCAAAACTAAATGACTAAGATCGTGACCCAAAGCTGCAGGGTCCTAGGCTTATAAGGACTCTCTCGCTGATCAGTCGGGCTCACCGGACTTCAGAGCTGGGAGGTGCCATCTGGTCTGACCCCAGAGTTTAAGGTAAGTCACCTGTCAAGAGTTCCTTTGTGGTGGAGAGGGGGATAAAGGAGACAGGCCGAGCATGTGCCTGTGCTCCCATCCGCCTTCTCAGCCAAGCGCCTGGGGAGCACTGGCTGTTCCGCTGGCCCGAGGGAGCAGGCTGCTTCCAGGGAGCACCGAGGCCTCCTCGTAGCTGATCTGCTCTGTCTCTGCAGAACGTGGTGAAACTGATGCGGGGCCTGCTCCAGTGCATGATGAGACAGGTAGGTGGAAAACATGACACCTGCTTGCGTGGCTTCTGCTTGCGCATTTTGTCAGTTTCATGGTGACAGTTCATTCTTAAAGCGTTTTTGAACTTTTCTTCTCGAGATGAAGAGAAACTGAAAATAATTTTGCTTCCTTCACTTTTTAAAATTGTCTTTAATAATGTTATTACACTGGAAAACCAGCACAGTTTCAAAGGACACTGATCTTTACATTCTCTTTTGAAGCGTTACTTGTGTGCCTTTTTTAAAAATGGGAGAGAAAACATTGGTTACAAAAGCCACTCCTGGAAAATCGTGTACTATTGTTTGTTCTGTTGACTTTATAAAACAGCTTATTTTTCATTCATGCTGAAATGCTTGAATTTTTAGAAAGACATTACTTTGCTGGTATTTTCAATGAGGGCTAAATCAAGCAATTGTTTGAGCAATTCTGTATTCAGAACACTGCAGGAGCAAAGACAAAGGCCATGCAGCCCGTGCCCTCAATCCGCGCATGCGCAGCTAACCTTCAGCAACGACTGCTTTTCCCCTTTCGACATAACAGAGCTAGAAGCTGAAATTTCAACAGTGTCTCTCCTTCCCTTTGTGTGAGTGCCGGCACCATCACAGCTCACCACTGGGGGCTGGTGACTGGAAAAGAAACCTTTTGCCTTGACTCCTAGTCATTGTAATTGGCTGAAATGGTGCTGGGCCTGGACATTTCTGGTGATGGGTGGGAAGATTCCCTCCTCTCCTACATACCCTTTGGCTAGGAGGATTCTTCTCACTCAGGTGGATAAAGTGGAGAAGTTCAAGCACACTCAGAGTACCAAGGACAGCCTGCATGCCAAGTATAACACTGCTACCTGCAGCACCGTGGTTGGGGACGACCAGTGGGGCCACCTCCAGGTTGATGCCACCTCCCTTTTCCTACTGTTCCTGGCGCAGATGACTGCTTCCGGTGAGCCAGGGCCATGTGAGCCCATTGTACAGGGAGTAACACTGGGGTTGAGGGAGGAAGACAGGCATTGATCAGCACTCCAAAAAAGCTGTTTCTAGAAAGAGAAAGCCTGCATCTCTCTACTCTGTGCACTGACTCTCATACTCCAGCTGCCTCCTGAGCGCCTGCAGTTGCATCAGCTATTAGCATCTCTCCACTTGATCCCGAAGCTTCCTTTCTGTTACTGTCACAACCTAGATCAGCTCTGTCTAGTAGCCCTAACTACTGTATCTTGCAGTGCCCTGCCTCCTCTTCAGAGTTTTCTTCTCCAGGATTAGCAGGCCTGGCCGCTCAGCTCTTGTCTCTCTACCCTGGACACCCTCTTCTACACACACTCTCATTTATCCAAATTATATTCAACAACATACTTTCTAGAACTTGGCAGTATGCCCAGAATGGTCGATCAGTCCATGGCACTCAGGCTGTGAGTGGGCCAGAAGCTTCCAGACGGCATGCTTTGTTCTTGCTGAAGCAGAACTCTTGGCTTCCTTAGCAGCCTAGACACAGGGCGTCCTAAGCTCGGGGCTGCGCCTGTCTGCCAGCCAAATGGCCTCTCCCACCTTGGAGCCTGCTGCAATGCTTCCACCGGGGGTTGGGCCCCTTAGCTGCTGGGTCTCAGAGTTCTTGTCACCAGTCCAGTAAACTGACATTCCTGGGTTAGAGGCTTCCCATTTATTTTAAGATGCAAATGTGAAACTAAAAATAGCAGAAGTCTGTAAGTAACATTGTGTGGCTTTGTGAATAAATCAGGCATTTCTTTAAATTTATTTTGGTTAAAGAAAAATGAGCTCACTTTTCAATATTTTGGGATATATAACAAAATGCAAAGAAAAAAAATACCACCACCAATTTTCATTTCATCTCCTCCAGCTCTTCCCTTTCCCACCACTGTTTTCTTACTTGTTTTTTACATATTTAAGGTCATATTGTATGCATAAATATAGTCTTTTTATTATGTAGCTTTGTATCTTAAGCATTTGATTTTTATCAATGAAATATACTGTAATTTAGCAATTCCTTTATGCTTTTTTTTTTGGTTATAACTAATGTTGCAATGCCAACTTTGACCCCCTCTCCATTTGCTTCCTTCTGTTAGTTAGAAAGCACTCACACCGACTGCCAAATTGTCTTCAGAACAGTTTATCTGCTAAACTGCCTCCCCTACTCCCTGCAGTGTGAGAGTGCGTATCTTACAGTACCCATACTTGAAAAACTACATGTATTTGCCATAACCTACTTCAGTCAAGGACCCAAGCAAAAATCCAGCTGTCTTAGTCACTGCCTGCTTCAGCCTAGGCAGGTCCTGGGAGCTGGCCCTTGGCTCACTTAAGGAGAAGGACCTCATCGGGTCGTGCTAGGCTATGATCTTGCTCTGTTGGAAACTTCTCTGCACAGATCCAACATAAACCAGAAGGCACATACCCCTCTCCATCCTTCCCACTCATCGGCACACGCACAGAAGTGACGCCTGCCCTTTCTCCCCTTCCTTCCTTACCTCCTTTCTCCCCTCTTCTTTGCTCTTTCTGAGGTTAGACATTAATTTATCACCTACTTCACTTATATTTTTTAAGACTTATTTAGACATACAAGAACTGGGGCACTGGCCAGAGATGCAGGGGTTGAGAGGATTCACCAGAGACAGAGTGGGGAGCAGAACAGGCAGGTTGACGAAATATACTGCTGATGGGGGTAGCAGGTGGGACAGGAGAGGTCTGTCACACCATGTGGGTCAGCTCCCTGGCCGGGGATCGGACTCTTGGGTGGTGGCTGCAGACAGCTTCCTAGTGCTGTGCTTTCACCTGTTGTGCCACCAGGAGGTCCCTGCTTCACTTATTTTTTGACGCCAGAGTAAGAAAAATGAAAATTGGGGTAAAAGGATATTCGTAATTGGCAGTCCTTTCTTCACCATTAACTTCAAAACGTCATTGTTGTCTTTTACTAGGTTTGCGTATCATTTTCACCCTGGATGAAGTGGCCTTCATACAGAACCTTGTTTTTTACATAGAAGCTGCATATAAAGTTGCTGTAAGTTTCAGCCTTGATAGTTTTTTAGGTGTCCCAGTTATCAAAAAGAATAAAAATCCTGCAGTTCTTTGAAGGCCAGGCTATTTGGGGCTGACCTGGTGCTGACATGACAAGAGTCGTAAGTTGGCGTCACCTCTGCGTACAAAGTGTGCACTGAAGTCCTGGAGCACGGCTGGAGATGTATGTTTTTGAAAGCACCACATGCTTTGTTTGAATCCTTTGTGCTTATTTTTATTTTTTTTAAGATCAACCAAACAGGTTATTTTCTCATTTTTTTTCTGCCATTCCCTATATATATTTTTCTTTTATGAAGTACCACTATTTTAAACCCTTATTAATTTATTGGCAGTATAGGAACTCTCCTCTTAGATGTGGTCATCAGAGCTCTCCCTCCACGGAAACACCCATAGTTCTCCACCACAGCCCCTTGTGCTCTCCTTCACCCCTGTTCTCTTCCCTCCCTCCTCCTCCCCTTTCGAATGCCTCAAATCCATGGTCAGCTTTCAAGGGTTGGTTTTAAAGTTTGTCTTTGTCTGACCCTTTGCTTGGTTTCTTTATATTCCACATATAAGCAAAGCCGTGTGGTATTTCTCTTCTTTCTTTTGGCTTATTTTGCTCTCTTTATGCTTATTTTAAAGGAAGATGCCCCAGAGCCAGGTGTGGGCGGGTATAAAATGAGTATAAAGCCCAGTCCTTCTGGCTTCTGTCTAATGCGGAAGATGGAGCCTCACATATTTCTAGAGAACAGCTAAACTATGGAGCTGGCTATAAAGGCAATAAGGAAAGAGTAGAGAATGGCCTGGGGAAAAATAAAGCCACCATGGTCTCTAGCAAGTTCAGCAAACTTTCTCTGTTAAGGGTCAGGGAGTCAATATTTGCAGCATGCCACTGTGCTGAGTACAGTTGATGGACAGAACAGATGCAAGTTAGATTTGTGCCAAGGTCGCCATGGGTAAAACAGCAGTTCTCCAGCAGGGGCAAGCTTCCCACTGGCAATGTCTGCAGACATTTTGGGTTGCTGCACTGGGGGTGCTTTTGGCATGAAGGGAGTGGAGGTGAGGGGTGCTGCTGACTGTCCTGTGAGGCAGGGACAGCCCCCATGACCCAGAATGATCTGTTCAAAAGGTTGGCAAGTGCCGAGGATGGTTAGCCCTGGTCTACAGAAGCTGGAAGTCTTCATGGAAAGGGTGGAATTTTAGTTGGGTCTGGGTTTTAGATGAACAGAAAGAAGGGGGGAAAGGACGGAGGGCAAGGATATGAGCAGGCACAGGCTCCGATTGTGTGGTGGGGGGACCGGTGGGAGGGACGTAGGTAAAGGGGTACAGAATGAGGAGTATACGTAAGGTAAAAGTTGAGAGACAACCATAGAAAATAAAAAGGTCAGCTGAGGGTGTGTGGAGGGTGGCAGAAGCCAGATAACAGAGGCAGAGGCGTGGCATTCCGAGAGGGCAGGTGATCTGCTGGAGAATGACCAGTTTCATTTTAGACTCTTGTGCCTGGGAGTGAGTCCCTCCCAGCCGTTTATGAAGTTGAGTCACTGAGCGTCAGGGTTGGTGTGAAGATGGCATGGGGAGAGAGGTGCAGATGTGAAGAGGGCCCAGGCTCCATGGGGAGGCACGTGGGCAGGGAAGAGTTTATAAGCATTAAACCTGTAGTTTGCATATGGAAGTAAAGAATTTCTTCCAAGTACAAGTAATGTCAAAATAATAAGAAGAAAGTCACGCTAGGGTGTCTAAGTCTAAATTTTCACATTTCAAAAGGTGTCCACCTTTAGAGATAAAAAATAAATCTTGACATTGGTCCTGTTCTTGTTGGGTGCTTCTTTCAATAGTGCATGTAGCATTATTTCAAGACAGTATCCAGTGCTTGAATTCCTTAAACGAAAACATGAATATAAAAGTTAGTATGCACGTATATCAAATTCTTTATGTGCACTGGGCGTTCTGAGCTGGTTCATATTCATGGGTTTTAAGATTCCTGGGAAGCTCAGAGGTCTGGATCTCACTTTTGACTTTGGTTCCCATTACTTGCTGAGCACTTTTTCCCTGGAGGCAGTGCTAGACATGGGTATTAAATTTTCTCAAACTTCTTGGTTGCCTTCAAATAGTTATAGCCCATTAACATTCCTTTATTTCATCATATAATTTAATATAAGTTCAAAGGGATTAGCTAAATAGAGCCCTGGCATTTGAGTTTAAGAAAATACTTTGTTTTCTACAAATCAAGACTTTCCTACAAATTAATGACTTTCAGGAATAAGAAAATCAAGAGCCTTTTTGCATGCATTTTTGTTCTGTGTGAGTTTTTACTTTCAAAAGTCTGCACAGAAGTTTTGAGGAATCGAGGGAGACCAAGCCTGTATGGAAAGCCAGCAGTCTGTCAGCCTTTGAGTTTCTGGTGTTTCGTTTTGCCTGCGGTAATATAGAGGAATCCTTCCCCACAGCTTGCCATATACCTCTCCCTGCCCTGATCACGCCCTGATTACCGCCTTTCTCTCCCCCAGGACTATGGCATGTGGGAACGAGGAGATAAGACTAATCAGGGCATTCCGGAATTGAATGCAAGCTCTGTGGGAATGGCCAAGGTGATGGAGTCATCTTGTTTGTTTTTCCTTTTTTTGTTTTTGCTGCTTTGATTTGGTTCTCGCATCAGAAATTAGGATTTAATCTGATTCGCATATTTTTGTAATGTCAAAAGCAAGTGGCCGTGTACCTCAGGCAGCTGAAATTTTAGGTGAAGAATAGCGGTTTCCCTCACTGGACTCTGTGTCTGAAAATAAGTGTGCTCCGCCCTTATCCATTATTATTACCCACGGGCCCTAGCTCACATGTTGTCTAAGAAGCTGAACATATGATGTCCAGTCTTTTCTGGGCCTTAAAGGAGGTTGAAGAGTGTGACCAGTGGAGAGAGAGGGACTCACGAGTTCACGAGCCTCTGGGTCAGATGAGTGACACAAAAGAGTAAAGTTAGATTTTAAAAAAAAAAAAGTCAGGGGCAATGCCAACACTGGGAAGTTTCTCGAAAGATTCAAATTCAAAATCACCTAAAAAAAATTTTCACACCAAACAAAACACACCCACGGGTAAATTCAGCTTGCAAGACAGCAATTTATACCTCTTGCCCTAGACCTTTAGCATGCTGTCTCCTTCCCTCCTTCTCAAGGCTGAGGTGTCTTTTGCAAAGGAAAGACTCCAGGGCTAGAATTTTCAATGTAATAATAAATATGCTCTATTAAGGTCAAGTGACAGAAAACATACTTTATGCTAAAATAATTAATTTCTTAAGTGTCAGAGACACTGCTGTTAGAAATTAAGTGCTAAACTAGGTGAAAAACTGCCAGTGAACTTAATGCCCCCACCCATACATATGCACACAATGTTAGGAACCTGTTACTATTTCATTTCTCAGTAGACTGCTAATGTCCTTTGGGCAAATGTTTTTCTATATTCTCTTTCCTGTTCCTATAATGAGCAGCAACATACAGGAAAGCTTTAGCCACTGAAAATAAGGATGAACCATAATAATAGGACTTTAGCTGGATTTCTTAAGAGGTGTTTCATCTCCTTTGGGAAAGCACGTGTAACAGACTGCTTCCAGTAAAAGGAATACCTGCTGTCCTTGAGAGAAAAATAAGTCAACCTGTGTTTGTAGGCAGCGCTTGAGGCGATTGATGAACTGGACCTCTTTGGAGCCCACGGAGGACGCAAGTCGGTGATCCACGTCCTGCCTGATGAGGTGGAGCACTGCCAGGTAACACGCAGCCTCTCGCGTCCAGACAACAGGGATGTACACCTGGCTCCAGCTCCGTGCCTTTCTCACTTGATCATCCTTGGCATCTTTGAGCACCAGAGCCCTCATCCGTAAGAAGGGTGTATATCCTGGGACCTCCCCTCCTGCTGCAGAAGGTGGCCAGAGGAATTGGAGTCAGTCGGCTTAGTCGGCTGGAAAGTACTATGGAAACACAGGCGTTGTATGAGTGGCATCGGCCATCCAGGCAACCGTGTATTTCTGGAGGCAGAAAATCTATTATTATTATTTTTTTAAGGACATTGGTGATTTTTGCTCAGTTGATTTTACTATGCCCCAAGTTGGACGACTTCCAATCACTAGTTCTCTTGCAGGGAGAGTGGGCAGACTCAATAGTGAAGAATAGTGGGAAGAAATGGCAAATTAGTAGAACTTCCATGAAATACAGATCAGAGAATGGAGTGATCTGATGCCAGTTAGCGGGCTCTATTATGGAGACAGTCAGTCACCAAACCCTGGTCAGAGTGAGCAGACTTTTATTGTATTGTGCAGACCCACTGTGTGTCAGCCACTGCGCTCGGGTTCTGAGAACGAAGGATACAGAATCTTGGAAGCAGAGAGCTTCTGGCGGAGGTTCACATTTTTGTGCAGAGGGATCCTAGGAAGAAGGACTGATTAAGGAACTGGACTTGGGCAGGGAGTTTAGTTGACTAGAGAAAATGAAGCTTTATTCGGAAGCTGAAAGGTTCCTCCCATCTTTGTCCCACCCTCCAGCTCACGCCATTCTCTCTCATTAACTAGCCCTTAGTGGGGACCCCCTATAGAACACCCTCTTCATATGGAAGAGTCAATCAGCTCGATGGCGAGGGTCTAGCAGGGGGCTGCTAGAGCTCAGTGTTAGTTACCATCCTTTCCCAAACTTTTTCTTATAATTTCAGCTTTCTTTAGTTTCTAGTGCCCAGGCCAACTACCTTATATTGAGGTCATATTTTAGTGCCTTTAAGTAACCCATTCTTTCTAGGATTAAATTAATAATCCTGCGTGCATTTGCCTAACCCTTCATGTGATCTTCTGGATTTAAACCCCTTCTTTGAGTGGTGGCTGGGTCACCCAGCCCAACAGATCACATTCTGCAGAAGCCAACTACTTTTTCCTGCTCTTTCCAAGTATTCTCCTCTCTCTAGCTTCACAGCAGGAGACCTTAGCCTCTTGACACAGGGGGGCTCATAGTTTCTCCCTGTTTGTCCTGAAGGCCTGGCTGAGTCAACCAAAGGCACAGAAGGAAGGGAGGCAGGCCGTTCTCTGCACTTTCCCCAGGGGACTGGAATATTGGCTGGGCAGGGGCGCCCGGCAGGGACCGTGTTGGTAGGACAAATCTCTACTCGGAATTGGCAGGTTCATGTGACTGTTCCTTGGGAGTAAGGTCACGTTCTCTAGGTGCTGGGTCTGTCAGTGCTTCCCATGCTAAAGCTGCCTCTTTGGTTTTCATTCAGTCTATTTTGTTCTCCATGCTGCCGAGAGCATCGACATCTAAAGAGATTGATGCTGGCCTTCTTCCCATTATTTCCTTCCCGGCGTTTGCAGTGGAAGATGTGAACCTGGTGAATGTGACCAAAAATGAAATTATTTCCAAGCTGCAGGTCAGTGCTGTTCTGCCTCATGCTAAGCGCTGCTCTTACCTGATACATGGGGCGGCTCACCCAGGCCTGGGCCCTCCAGCGTCAGTGGCTCGATTTCTGGGACTCGTAGAGCCAGGGACCGGAAACTGAGGCTCCACTGTAAGTCTCCAGCGGCCAAGTGACTTGCTTCTCTGCCTAAGTAGTGGGGTGTGGACTCAAGCTGGCTCTTTTGAACCCCATTTGATCCCAATACTGTACCTCTAGGGTGGAGCTTCTTAGCCCTTTAGAGAGCACCATCTCGTTTGAGAATCTTTCAAAAGCTACAAGGTTTGAAAAAACGGTATGTGTGCAAGGATCCTTAAACTTTGCATACCATTTCAGGGGACTTGGAGAGCCCAACGTCAAATTGGGGTTAAAAAAAAAAATCCCTGCTCTGAAGCAAGGTGCAGTCACAGTGGCACAACACACTCAACTGAGGACATAGTAAATGTTCCAGCCAGCTGAGGTCAGCAATAAAATGACCAGAGAACGTTGCACTCCCCTAGCCTGCATCTGCACGCTGATGTTCAGACTTAGATTTGATTAAAAAAAAAAATGCTTTTAACCCTTGGAAACAAAGGCACCAAAGATTCTCCATTCACATCCCTCAAAGTAGGTGACCGTCTCCGTCAAACCAGAGTTGAGAAAAGAAACATCTGTAGGTCTTGGGAGGAGGCAGTTAATGAAGTGTTTACAGGGGAGCAGGTTTCCCCAGGACTTCTAGAACAGTCAGAGCCTGGGGACTGTCCTCTTGGCTTCCAAGTAGAAGCAGCCCATTCCAAGTATGTGCTCAGCAGCTTCTCGGGCGGTGAGGCCCCTTTGTTCGTGCAATACCATGGTCAGAACGAGAGGGTGGTGGCTACTGGACTTGCAGGAATTACTCGTGGCCTGCGCTCACGGGAGGGTTTGATACTTCCTCTCAAGTGCTAATCAAATCTGAGCTTACATGGCTTTATTATGTATTAAAAATTTGTTCTGCTTACACAGACCATGTGGTACTCACTTCATTGCTAAAAGATTTGTGGGGAAGGGTGTGAAGGGCTGACTGGAATCAAAATCAAAAGGCTATTCTGATTTCACTGAGTGAACTGCTCTTTATCCTTCTAGGGGCGTTATGGATGCTGCCGCTTCCTTCGAGATGGTTACAAGACCCCACGAGAGGTTGTATTTAAATACTGTTCCTTAGCTGCTTTGTATCTCAGGTGCTGCTGTGGTGTTTCCTTCTTTTGATTATAATTAGATGTTGGGATATTGGAAAAGAAAGTCTTGATTTTCATCAGCCATCCTGGAATGAGGCGGCAGAACAATGAGGTCATCAAGAGGCCAGCAAACGGGGGGGTTTAACACCAGCTTGTAGACAAGAACAAACAGTTCTGTAGCTCCCATGTTTGTTAAAGATCAACTGTGGCTTTCTCCTCTACATTCTCTGCCATAGTGACTGATATAATGACATCAGTCAGACAGCCTGCCAGGCACTGTGATAAGCAAATTGTGGTCTACTTGTTAAAGATCTAAAAGGCTTTACTATAATGAGCTACCAGTCTGAAATTTTACCATGGAAAACTGCCAAAAATAGCATCGCTAGAGTCGCAGAACCTGCTCACGCCAGCCTCCCAGTTGCACTGAATCAGACCGGGAGGGAAACCCAGTGAGGTACGTGGTGGAGTGTGTGCTCTGACATCACCTTTTACGAGGTCTGTTTACTGATTCCAGGATCCAAACCGATTGCATTATGACCCCGCTGAACTCAAGCTGTTTGAAAACATCGAATGTGAGTGGCCCGTGTTCTGGACATATTTCATAATAGATGGAGTCTTCAATGGCGATGCTGTTCAGGTGAGAAAGTGTGGAGTGCTGTGTTGCAATCTGCGTTCTTCTTCCACTGCTGTGCTGATTACTATTAGAGCATAGATGGGACTAGAATTTAGGGCACCGTTCTCCTTATCTGTTGCCACTTAATGAAACTGCCCCAAGCTTAGTGAACTAAAGCAACAACTATTTTATTTACTTGCTTATGATCGGCGATTTGGGCATGGCTCAGTAGGGATTCGTTTTCTTAGCTTCACCTGGCACCAGCTGGGCATTTGCTGGAGCTGAGGATCTACTTCCAAGGTGGCCTCACCCACATGGCTGGCAGGTTAACGCTGGCCGTCAGCCGGAGCTCATCAGCTGTGGGACTGGCCCTTGGCTCTCCTCCATGTGGCTACCTCGGACTTCTTACAGCATTGCTGCAGTCTCTGGGTAGTTAGGCTTCTGCCATGGGGCTCATCACCCAAGCTTTCTTGAAGCTTAGGCCCAGAACTAGCTAAGTGACCATGTCCGTTGCATTCTATGTGTAAAGGGTCGAGTGCAAAGGGAGGGGCCTGGACAGAGGCTGAGCCCCAGGGGGCTGCATTCATCAGGGACCACCACAGAACAGACCCACAGGCAGGCTTTGTTCTTTTCAGACCCCTGGGGCTTTGTTGTTATTGGCTCTCATTTCAGGGTGCCCTCAACTAAGGTCTCATTTAAAAAGAACAGCCTCCTCAGCGGACTCCCAGCCTCCAGCCTTGCTCCCACTGGCTGCTTCTCCATACACTTGCCGAGCCCTCTTATTAAAAAGCAAATTCGATTATGCCCTGGTCTTGCTTTAAAGCTTTGAGTGGCTTCCTAATTGCTTTGGGGACAAGTACAAACTCCTCACAAGTTTTGGCAGTCAGTCAGATCCCAGCCCTTGTTTACAACTCTATAGCCTGTTTTCTATGACTTCTTTCCTTTCTTGAGTTTTGTGATCCCAGCCCACTTTAACCCTTTCAGTCCTTTGAATGGACCACACTTTCTTTCTCCACTTCTTAAATATCCAGGACACTGTTTCCTCCCCTGACTGCACCTCCTTCTTCACGTGAGTCACGGGGCTCTTCTTTCGGAAAGCCTCTCTTGACCTGAGAAGCTGGACCAGGGCCCCTATAACAGCAAAGGTCACCCTGCAAATATTTAGTCTCCCACGTTCCTGGTGCGTTCCTGGTAGGGAGGTAAGCCCCTGGTAGAGGAGGCCTGTATCCAGTTCACCTATAGGTTCTCTGCATAGTACAGAGTAAGTGCTCAGTAAATGGGTGCTAATGCAGTGCTCTTCTGTTCAAGACAGATCTTTCTAGCATTCGCTGCTCCGCACTGTGCTGAGCCCTGAGTGTGCAGGACAGACAGGCCCCTGTGCAGCTTATGTGAATGACTGATGAACTCCCTGTATTGCTGATTTTTTAATGTGCTAGCCTCACCTGTTCTGGGGTGATTTGAGGAATCTAAGATTTATTTTGGCTTTTGAAAGTAGCAGTAAGTTTAAAATGGTAATGCTCCCTATTGTTTCTTACCCTTATGCTTTAGTGATAAGCTTAGGCTTTATATCTTCTGTCTTTTTATCCCAGAAGGAAAAGCTGTCAACAGGATTGAGTTTGAATTTCAGTTGTGAGCAGGCTCAACAATTATCGAAATGAAAACCAAGTTAAGAAGACAGTGCTTATCGTACCTTGTTCTCCAGGCCGCTCAGAAGCTGCTACTCTTCCCTTCTGCGGTCTCCTCCATGGCTGCCCAGGGACACTTAGGAATGTGCGAGCTTCGCCATCTGCGAGTCTAAAAAGGGGGAGAAAATGAGATCTGGAAGGTGTTTGGGGTGTCCAGAGATGAAATGTGTTATCTGTCTAGGTGACTGGTGAGAGGCTGCCCTTCTTTTCCTTTCTAAGAGGTGCTTTCTATCATTGCCTTTTAGTGTCTTGGAAGTCTTTGCATCACCAGTTTTAGTTATATTAAGTAGTGTGCTTTAAGCATCCGGGTACATGGGTCATAGTATAGACACTTTCTTTTCCTCACATCAGATTCATTCAGCCAAATATTTCATAAAGCAATAAAAAATTGGAATGAGGGCCTTTTAAGGGGAAAACTACCAGTAGGTGGAAATGGGGTAGCTTCTTTTCCATGAAGCTTATAATCTATCTGTGGAGACAACATTGAAATGTGTAAGAAGTTGAGAGTGAAATAGGAGTTAAGGACAACACAGAAAAGGCCAGTGGCATTTAGCTCTTACTAGCATTCACTGTCAGCAGGAGGCCTCCACACCTTGAGCTAAAGGTATGTGTGCATTTTGAGCCCTGTCTCCTCCTTCTGATCTGCTCATTGCTGTTTTTCTGTGTGGCACTGCCATTGTAGCATCAGTGCCCACTCTTTCTTACCAGACGGTGGGGGTGCTGGGGCTATTTTCCAGGTCCAAGAATACCGCGAGGCCCTGGAGGGAGTGCTGATCAGAGGCAAGAATGGGATCCACCTGGTGCCAGAGCTCTACGCCATCCCACCCAGCAAGGTAACAAGGGGCTGCACGTCTCGAGGGCAGTGAGTCCGTGCTTGGCCTCTTGATATTCTTCACCCCCTTTTCAGGCCCAATGAACACTTTTCCCAGCAAACGTGGTTTCGAAAGCCTTAGGTAGTGTTCCTGTCTATTCCAGGAGCTATTTGGAGCCTGTTTAATCAGGAGTGGCCTAGTGGGGCTTCAGTTGAGGACCTTTGAGGATCCCTCGAGCCCAGACTGGATGCGCCCTAAGAAGTAGAGACAGGGTTAGGCTCTGTGTCCTTGGAAAATTCCACAGAAGAAAAGGCAGTCAGGATCCCTGGGAAGGCATAAAGGACAGGTTGAGAATCTCTTCTTTAGTCAAGCAGCAGCCAGGCAGAGCACCGTTCTCTACCAGGAACAGAGGAACTGGACAGTTCTGAGAAGAAGCCTACAGAGTTTTGTTCCATCCAATCTCTGGAATTAGATCAGGAAGACTTATCTATCTTGGCTGGAAGATTTCCCTATTAATGTCTCATGTTCAGGAAAGAAGGATTCTCCATTCAAGGCTGTTTTTCCTTCAGATGCTCCTGTTGCTTCAAATGTCATTATTGCGTTTGCGGAGGGAAGACACCTCAGGGGCAGTATCTTCCCCACACTGACAGGGCCTGTAGGAGACCGGCGCCCAGCAGAAGCTGTCATGAGCAGCTTGGGTGAAGGGCTCTGCTGAATGTGGCTCACTCGTACATGTCCAGGGGAATGCAGGGGCCTTTGAAAGTATCTGTCTCAGTTCAGAAAGGCCGGGGAACCTGTCAGAAATCAGACAGCACTGGGCTCTGGTTGGGGTGACACCCCAAGTTCAAGGCTTCCCCAGCGCCCCACACATATCCTGTGGCGGTGAGTCCTCATCCACGTCAGCCCGTGGAATCTGCAGAGGCCATGTTCTCGTGTCAGAGACCTGCACTTCCTGCCATGTGTTCATTCCTCCATGTGGGCAGGGTGTTGCAGGAGGGCCTGGGTGGGGCTGGGTTGTGACTTTTCCACAGTGACATGTCCAGACTGACCCTTTCCAGTACTGAGGCCTTTGAAAACTAAAATTACTAAAGGGAGGACATGTGGGACCTGGAAGCAGAGCAAGGAAAACTAAATGACATCAGGGCACTTTACCTGTTTCAAGGTAGAGAATATCCGTCCATGCAGGATCTGCCAGAAGCACGCTTTCCTGACTGGAAAGTGCTTGTCTTTCTCGTGAACAGCGCTGGCTGCACGTGGTAAAAAGCTACTCCGCAACTTTCTCCCTTCTAAACTTCACACTGACCTCAGGTTTCTACTTGTCGCAACCACATCCTCCTCCATGGGGCTCGTTTACACAGACGCCAGGCATAACTTCGGAGACCATGTTCTGTCGGCCTCAGTGTATGAGGCTGTTGCAGATAACAGCTGGGAAGGCCCATCTCTCACATAGCAGCATGTCGATCCACTGGAGTGCCGAGGCCTCTGCAGCAGGACCTCCCAGACTTACAGGACACCTTTGAGCTGATTAGAGAAAAGGACCCTGTTCTCCCTGTGACCACAGCCCTGCGCCATGGTGGCATCCAACCTGGAGTGCCACCTCACTCATTTCCTCAGCCAGACAGGCTTAAGTAAGGTGCCTCCAGCTACAGCACCCGCCCCTGGACAACATGAGGTTGTTGTGTGCATGCCTCGCAGCTGCCCAGGGCCAGGCGTAGGCTGGTACCAGGATGCAAAGGTAGTTACTCCCCTCTGCCTCTTCGAGTTCACAGGACAGGGGACTCGGAGGAGCCGGCCTGTGGGATGGAGGGCAGATGCCGGAGTGGTGGGGGCAAAGGTGTGGTATGCTAGGGCGGGCAGGACTGCACTGGAGAAGGCAAGAGGGACACCCCAACAAGCTGCGTGGGTGGGCGGGGCCAGGCCATCCTTCGACCTGACTCCTTGTCTGCCTCTGGGCTTTGCATCCATAATGTTTTCTCATTCCAGGTCTTTGCAGTCTTTCTTAACACCACTTACATTTCAGATAGACTTAAGTAATTAATGATTATAAACATAATCCTGCACACTGCAAAACATCCAGGCTCGGTAGAAAGAAGAAATTTTCTCTTGTCTTACTACCCAAAAACAACCACTATGAAGTTTTGGAGACTCTCCTACACTATTGTCCTGTTGGATCACTGGATTATGGGTGCTATTTAATTCTGTTCAGATATGCAGTTAAGGGTGTCTTGTTTACTACTCTGGCAAATTTTAAAAATTTTACTAAACATTAGAAGTATCGCTGCTTACTCCACAGGCACAGTACAGCTCCCCTCGTGGTGTGATTTTCTTCTTCGCAAAAAGAGAAATTCTGCCTTTTTCCTTTGATTGGCTTGTATTTTCGGTGGCGGAAAAGGGGTTACTAGCCTAACCCCAGCCAACGCTGTAACGACTGCCAAGCTAAAGGTCGGCATAGTGTTGGCAGCAGAGGAAGTGCAGACCAGCCTGTACTGTGTGGAGCCAGCACTGTTCTTCAGAAGGAGCTGCCACTTGTTTGGATGAGTCAAAGCCCTGGTGGGCGCAGCCTTTTGAGGCCCTGATGGAAAACTAGTGATGTCACAGTCCGTTTGCTTTTCCTCAATAGCTAGTGCCACCTTCTGGTACTTTTCTCGCATAGGCACAGAGTCTGTGAACCCCTGGGGACATCGAAGCGCGAAACCTCTTTGGGATCTGGCCTCACACCGCAGGCTGCAGGCTGTTTCAGATCGTTGTTCCATAACACAGCCCACCAGAGCCCGGAGCTGTGAAGCTCCTGTGGCCCACAGCTGTGCGGGAAGGAGGCAGCCGGGCCCCTGCCCCGTCAGTGTGCTTCTGGGAACTGGAACTGAATTAGATTTCCACCTCTGCTGTGTTTAGCATGTAGGGGGCCCTCACCCCTACCCCACCCCAGTTTGAGGGTCGGGAGGGTGGTAGCCCCCTCCCCTGAGAGTCCCAGCTGTCCCACAGAGTCGGTCTGGGCCACTGAGTACGTGGCAATTTGAAATCTGCCACACCCCAGTGTGCCATGGGATTGACTTTTTTTTAAAGATTTATTTATTTATGCATAGAAGAAGTGGGTACAGGCCAGAGGTGCGGGGGTGAGAGGATTCACCAGACAGAGTGGCGAACATTGCCTTTTTAGCCACTGACATTCTGATTTGGGCTTTTTCTCTTTGCCAGGTAGACGAAGAGTATAAGAATCCTCACACGGTGGACAGAGCTCCCCTGGGGAAGCTGCCCCATCTGTGGGGTCAGTCCTTGTACATCCTCAGCTCACTGTTGGCGGAGGTAGGGGGCTTGGGGACTGCACAGATTGCAAGCCGGCGGACTTGAGGTACAGGGGGCTCCAGTAGAGTGCCGTGGGGTGGCCACGGTTGTCTTTGCCACATCCTTGGTTATCCAGTCAGTGCTGCTGGGTGGCTCTGAGGCTGGATGCCAGGGCTGTGGTGCTATATTTACCTTGACTCACTACTGGTCCACTGCACGCCCAGCATGCTGCCCCCGCTGGCCGTCCCCAAGTGGTGCAGCCTGGGTGACGCAGCAGTTGGTTGGGATCAGAAGCTCCCTAGCAGGGCCAGCACCTGTGAAAGCCACAGGTCAGAGAAATGAGGAGGCCTGCTCTGGCCGCAGGCTCAGGAAGTAGGACTCCACAGCCCTTCCCCCAGAGGCCGCAGGCTGGCTTTATCATGACTAACTTTGTGTCAGGTGTCCCCTCTGCTCATGGCACCCTACACAGAAAATCTACTGCTGACTCATTCCTTCTTGGAGAGCCTTTGCCCCAGACTTCAGTTTTTAAAACGCAGGTGCTTTTGTGTCGCTAAAAGCAAGTCCCTCACCAGTACCAGGTAGGGATGACTTGATCACAAAGGCTCAACTTTACTGGGAGGATCCTCCCCTGCTGAGCACTCTGGGCCCTGCGCGAGGGGCAGGGGCTCCAGCCCACTGTGTTCTGCCAGACTCTAGAAAGGGCCTGGGAGCAGTGGGCCAGAATTTCACAGGGGCTCCTGTGAAATGTCACGGAAGAGTGAAAGTGAAAAAGCCTCACAGCGGAGCAGTGACTTCACACTAGGATAGTCTCTGTGGTTTCCTGGTCATGTTTTTGGCAGAAGGATCTCCATCTTTCCCTCTGTCTTTATTAGTGGGGAAAACACTTAGCTCTCCTTTGGGAGACCAGCCCTTCCTCTGACTAGCTCTGTGACCTCAGGCAAGTCTCTTAACCTCTCTGGGTCTCAGTTTCCTCATCTGTAAAATGAAGAGGTTGGGCTTGATGGCCTCCACAGTACCTCTACTGATTTTTTGTGCCAGTTAGATGGGAAACAAAGAACTCGGCTTTAGGTCCACTTCCTCCTCAGAAGTCCTAGGTCCCTTGATACCTGCTCTTGGGGCTCAGACCATTTGTAGAAAATGTGAGATGATACAGATTCCCCTCTTTGCAAGCAGGAAGGGGAGCTGTGTGTTTCCAAGGCCGTCAGCCTCGGGTCATGTCTCCGCTCTGCCACTTACCTGGGCTTTAGCACCTGTGAGAGGGTGGCAGTGGTAGCGCCCACTGGCTGGGAGGCCTAACTACAGCACAGAGCCAGCACTGGGCAAGGGTGTGGGAGGTATTAACTGCCATTGTTGGTTTTTAACTGAAGTAATGTTAGTTCATAACATTCTGTGGGCTCGGGTGACAGCTTCTGTCACATCTGTGTAGATGACATTGTGTTCGTCACTAACAGTCTAGTTTCTGTCCATCACCCGTGCAGTTTACTCCTTTCACCTCATTTACCTACCCCATTTCCTCCTACCTTCTGGTGACCCCATTTGTTCCTGTAGTCTGAGTTTTTGATTTGTTTTGTTTTATTGGTTCTTTGTTTTGTCATACAGTGTTTGTCTTTCTCCATCTCACTTACTGAGCATAGCAGGATACCATCTAGGCCCATCCCTGTTACTGGAAAAAAAAACCCACAACACACTGTTCTTCTCATTCACCCAAATGGTGGCATTTTTGACTAGTTCTGGAGAACTAGGCACAAGTGACTTAAAAAATGTAAAAGAGGGCCCTCCCTGGTGGCACAGCGGGTTAAAGCACAGCTAAGAAGCTAAAGCCACTTCAGCATGAGTTCGATCCCTGCCCCAGAGCTGACCCACAGGGCACAGCAGACCTCTCCTGTCTCACTTGCTGCTCCCCTCAGCAGTGTACTTTGTCAATTTGCCTGTTCTGCTCCCCTCTCTGTCTCTGGTGAATCCTCTCACTGCCCCTGCACCTCTGGCCTGTACCCCAGTGTAAGTAAATAAATCTTTTTTAAAAAATATGAAAGAATACAATACTGAAGACTTCGAGCCCCCAGATATTCCATTTTCAAACTTAGGCTTAAGGTGAAATTTCAGGGAATCGACATCTCATCAAATATGCTCCTTTATTCTTAGGGATTCCTTGCCACTGGTGAAATCGATCCCTTGAACAGAAGGTTTTCCACTTCCGTCAAACCTGATGTCGTGGTGCAAGGTTTGTGAGCATGTTTATTCTGCTCTATAAAACCCTTTATCTGGCCCTCCCTGGTGGCGCAGCGGGTTAAAGCACTGCACCAAGAAACTAAAGCGCCGCTTCCGCATGAGTTCTATCCCCGCCTGCCCCGGAGGCGACCACATGGCGAGGCAGACCTCTCCTGACCCTCCCGCTGCTCCCCTCAGCAGTGTACTTCGTCGATCTGCCTGTTCTGCTCCCCGCTCTGTCTCTGGTGAATCCTCTCACCCTCCGCATCTCTGGCCTGTACCCCAGTTCTGTACGAATAAATAAATAAATCTTTAAAACAAACAAACAAACAAACAAACAAAAAAACCCTTTATCTAATGGAAATTTTCCTGGTGCAGTTTTTCAGTGTGTATATATAGGTGCTTCAGTGTTTCTCAGTTCTGAAAATCCCTTCTGTCACTCAGTTGCTCTCAAAGGCAACAACAGTCCTCCCAGCCACAAAGAAGCCTGCACAGAGCCGTTGTTTCCTTGAAACTAGGCCTTGGTTGCACATGGGGTACAGGTGAGACACAGAGCATCACTTCCATGATGTCACTCTTCAATAAGTAGGACGTGACTCTGATGAGAACTCAAAACCCAAGTGGAGGGTCTTTCCTTCCTCCCTTTGAGGTCTTTGTCCCAGAGCTCCAGGCCTGTTTTCACTGCTTCCACCTACTTCCTCCTCTTCCAGAGGTGAAGGCAAAGCATGGGCTGCCTCCTCTGCCTGGCTTCCCTTCTCTGTGGCTCCGGAGGTCCTGTCTGGCACCTGCTCACAGGGTCTGGAGATGAGCTGAGATGGCGCCTGGGAAGAGGCCTGGCCACTTCTGTGCACCAGTGAGGCCCACCACGAGCCTCATCTAGCACCACAACATTCTGAAGCAGAGACAGTGCATGCTTGCAATTTTCCTCCGCATGTTGCATAGACGATTTTGAGGTTAGCTGACTCAAGCACCCGCGGCTGAGAGCCAGTCCTGACGCCACAGTCTCTGCACTTAACCAGAGTGCAGGCTGCTCATCGCCTCTTAAACCCACAAGGCCTCTTTCAAACTGCAAGCTGGGACATGTGGACAAGTCAGAGCAACATTTCTAAAATGTACTAGAGTGGAAGATCTCAGAGGGTCTGGCCTGGAGGAAGGAAGGGGAAGAGCAATTTCAGAAACTGCTCCCCATATAGCTGGTCAGATCATGAGGTTCACAGGCCTCCAAACCACAGCTCTAAGAGAATCACCGCTGCAGAGAGCGACTGCTGTGAGCAGCTTCAGAAGAGAGCCCCCCCGCACCCCGCCCTCAGTCCTGGTTCTTCAGTTTGCTGAGGGCCTGGAGGTGTAGCTTCCAGCCCCTGTCAAGCTCTGCCTGGCCAGTTGCACACAAGGCTTCCTCCCAGGGCCTTGCTGTGAAACACAGATGAGACGTGGCATTAAAATACTCTGAAAAGGCATCATGTGTTATGGAAATGGGAGGCGGTGACATTCACTTCTCATGTTATGTATTCCAGGTATCCTCAGCCTGTGGGTACAGTGGTGGGATTTGGGGGTTTGGGGGAGGCTAACTTAATAGAGTCTTCTTCCTCTGGCCTGAGCTCTGCCAGGAGCCCCTCCAAATTCCCGACAGGCCCTGCTGCGGCCAGCACTCCTGGGGCTCCTTCCATTTGCCAAATAGCTGTCCCTCCTCATAAAACTGACAGTGCTGGCACCACAGATGTGTGCAGTTGAGCCTCCCCGGGCCCTTACCCACTAGAGGCAGGGTCCAGGCCAGCCCATCAGGGGTACAGGGTCCAGCTCAGGGTGGCTTTTCTCCACCAGCTAAACCCTGTGCTATGGTTCTGAGCACACTAGTCTCCACCTGCCCCCCAACAGCAGCATTTTCCCTTCTCTTCAGAGCAAAAAGAGCCCCCTCTCCCCTCAGTCATAGCACCCCCTGCTAGCACATACCGCCATATTGCTTTCCTTTTCTCTCCTTTGAAAGCGGCACATAGACCACTTGTGGCATCTCCCTTGCAGAGCCGTTTGTACTTGAACCCTGTATAAAAGAACACGAGACAGGTTTAGAAAAATGTAGACTCAGAGGGAGGCAAACCACCATTTGAGATGGGATGATTTGGCCTGGGACCTGTTGGAGACCATTTCTAGAAGCTTCTTAGCAGACTATCTTGTGCACTGAAGGTACTTGATATCTAGGTCTTGTAGGTATTGGGGGGTGGTCCAAGAAAGCCAGGAAAAGTGTCAGGACAGACACTGTCACTTTTAAAGCCCCCCGAGGTTGGCGAATGTTCCATCACAGCCAAAGATGGCACATATCCATGGGAGGAGGCAAGGGCCTCAGTCTGATGTGGAGTCTGGTTTTCTTGTTCACAGTTACAGTTCTGGCAGAGAACAGTCACATTAAGGAGCTGCTAAGGAAACACGGGCTGGCCGTGCAGAGTATCGCGGACATCTACCCAATCCGCGTCCAGCCTGGCCGGATTCTTAGTCATCTTTATGCCAAACTTGGTAGGTTTGAGGAATCACAGGGCATTTTTGGCTAGGGGGCATCTTGGTTCTAGGTTTTGGGTCTGGGGGAGACTATGATATATGTAAATTTTAAAGAATTGGAGAAAACGCTATAGCAGGTGGTTTGACTGCCTCACCATGACGAGGAAAGGGCCAGTGGACACCTTCTTCTCGCGTCCGCCCTGCGAATGTCACCGCAGGTTCACCGCATGATTCGCCGTATCTGTAGCAAAATAAGAAGTGAAAAGTCACCAGGGTGCCATCATTTGTGTCTTGAGAATGCTTTTCTGTAGTCTCAGAAAATGCTTACTTATCCATCAAAATGCCAGGGGATTTTCTTTACTTTTCTAGAATCTGAGCATTATGGTTCAGTACTAAATAAATACTGAACATTTATGAGTTCTTTTAATACACTGATTTCATGTAGATATTGAAACAGGTGCTGTGATATACATACATGAAAGAAGCGGGTGGCATTTGTCTTTAATTCACCTGTGGCTCATTTTAAAGAAAGATAATATTTGAAAAACCTAAGTGGATTGTTTAACATGAAGATAAGCTGAGTCTTAGCCAAAGTCACTAGGACTGGATGTTACTATATTTATGGTAACTCCGGTTTTTCTTTCATTTCTCAAATAGGACGGAATAAGAATCTGAAATTGAGTGGACGACCTTATCGGCCCATCGGCGTTCTTGGGACATCTAAACTATATGTGATTAGGAACCAAATCTTTACCTTCACACCCCAGGTGAGGAGCAGACTAATAGCAAACCAACAAGCATCCTTTTACTGAATTCTGTCGGGGGAGCTGTGCAGAATTCTGCATGCATGTGACCAAATGGAGATTTAGAAGATGACCCCCGGCCTGTGAGCTGTTCTTTACTCAAAGAGGTGCTCTGGAAGTGGGGCTTGAATTGAACTGAGTGTGCCATCACCTCCAATCAGGAGTGGCAGTCACATTTCCCACACTTTATAAATTTGCTAGTCATATGTCACTTGACTCACGGCTCTTGTGCCCTGAAATGCAATAGTCTGTAATGCTGAGACTGTGCGTAGCGTACAGCCTGTCTGATTTTCAGGCCCCAACACCTAGACAGGACCCTGACTACACTGATTATGGGAGTTTTCTTTAGAGCTTTTGTTTCTAACGGAAACTAGTCCTGTGGAACTTTCATCCATTTGGGGTTGTGAAGACCAACAGTGGGGTTGGATGGACACCCCCGCCCCCTGGCTACCTGGACACAAAGTTGGCTGTTGGGGTCATGGGGCAGTAGTCCCAAATTGTTCTTTTGCACCCTAACCCATGCTGCTTGTGTACATCTGATGAGTGATTTCCCTTCATTGCACATTCAGACCTGAGCTGAGCATGGACTAATCCAGGGGCCAGCAGGACAATTTGATTGGCATCAACATCAGGCAACGGACCTTTAGTTCACATTAAGCAGGGAAACAGAGTCTCTACCTCACCTGCTACCTCTACCTCAACCTCACCTGTTCTCGCCTGCTAGGAAAGTGTCTCTGACCCAGCAGCCCTGGGAGAAGTAGGGGTTAGGAGTTTCTGATTTCCATTCAGAGGCAGCGGGGTGGGGCTGGGGGCGTCAGTCCCTCCTGAGCACTGATAAGTGGCTCCGGCTGTGCACCTGGCCCTCCTGCGCCACTGTCAGAGCAGGCGACAGGTCAATCTGTCTGATTGCCAGGGGAGCCCCACGATGGGGTGACAGCTCTGGAAACCACATGCCAGGACTCGTGCTACATGAGTGACTGCTGGCCCTGAGTGGGGAGGTGAAGGACAGCCTTTCACCTGGCTTGCTCTGACTTGCAGTTCACTGACCAGCATCACTTCTACCTGGCCCTGGACAACGAGATGATGGTGGAGATGCTGCGGATCGAGCTAGCCCACCTGTGCACCTGCTGGCGGATGACGGGCAGACCCACGCTCACCTTCCCTGTCACCCACACCATGCTCAGTAACTTGATCTTCCTGGCTTTTTCCCCACTGTTGGCTTGGGCCCTTTCAGAATCTGTCAAATGGCTCCCGTGGACAGAGCTAAGTACTAAAAGGAGTTTCCAGCAGTTCAGTTTCTCAGCTTGGGAATCTTCTAATTAGGTTATATTGGTGAAAACATTTCAGTGCATGCCAAGAAGAAAAAGCAGAAATATTCCTAGTTAAGTAAACTAATTCTCTCTCTTTTCTGCCTTAGTAAATGATGGCTCAGACATTCATGCTGCAGTTCTTTCTACAATTAGGAAACTAGAGGATGGATATTTTGGAGGTGCTAGGTAATTTGTGATTTTTTTTTTAAATGAAAATAACATTGACCTTTCTTAAAGTCTTATGCTGCCCTTCTCCCATTTTTTATATTAAATGCTGAACACAAGCCAAAGGGAAGTTAAACTTATATCATCCAGCTTCCCAGGTTAAACTGGAATCGTCATCATGTCAGTCCGTGCTGTAGGGACTTGTTAAGCATTATGGGTACAGAAGGCTGGGGGTGTGGCAGGGCAACCATAGGAAGTCTCTCCGAAGTGGCGTTGTTGGAAGGCATGTATAGAAGCTCTTGTGTGTTTCTCATGAAAGGCTGGAAAGAAAACCTCCACTAGCCGGGGGCTAGCCGTGCTCAGTCGTCTCCTCGAGTTGACTTGAGCGTGCTTTTACTTGAGGAATAATTCATAGACCTTTACCAGCTCTTTGGTGGCCCACACCAGCTCTTTGGTGAGCAGAGCACCTAGGCCACTGTTCCACTGTGGGGTGATAGCTTGGGGGTCTGCAGGCCCGCGGTAGGACAGACTGTGCCTCCAGGTAACAGCCCGGCACCTTGAGTGACGGGGCTCAGCTCCCAGGAACACCCTTCCATTTTGCTATCCCTGCCTGCCACAAGGCGGAGTTTTTTTCAGTAACATCGATACCCTGGTCTCTCCAAAGCCCCTGAGATATGCCTGCCCACAGTGAGTGTGGATTTTTCCCAGGCACCAGCATGCTTCCACTGGGCCCCTGACAGAATGCCAGTTGCTATAAAAGTGTTTGGGAATTGAAGCCAATCCTCACTTCTCACTTCCTCCATGCCAGGGATTCTGCTACACAGAATTTTTTTTGTAATGATGGTAAAATACGTATCACTTAAAACGGACTGTCTTCGCCATTTTCAATTGCCCAGTTCAGCAGAATGAAGCGTGTTCGCACTACTGAATAGCCGGTCTCCAGAACCTTTTCCTCTTGCAAAAAAAAAAAGAGAGAGTCTGGGTGCCCACCAGCTCTCCATTCCCTTCCCCCAGCCCTGGCCACCACCGTTCTGCTCTGTGCCCAGTATGTCATCTCAGGGGACTCACCCAGTGTGTTGGGCCTACTAAATGATCTATTTCATAGCCTGATGTCCTCAGGGTTGAGTCTCTGTATTTCTCAGTGTTGGGGTTGGCCTCTCTGCCACACAGCTTGCTGTGGGGTTTGCTGTAGACTGAAGCAGCCTTCACCAGCCTTCTCCAGGCTTCTTCCAGGAACACCCCTGTGCTTGCCATCTACACTTGCAGGGTGAGGTCCATACCTGCAGCCACCCCCCAGACATTGTACCGTCAGTTTGGAGGAGTTACCACCTGGCATATGGTGTCAGAGTGGAGAGAACATAGCGCACACGCATAATGAACTGCTTTTCCAAACACATCCTTTAGCTGAAATAGAAGCATTGTCAAGAGGTCACTGGCTGCCGTTCTCCGGCACCTGCAGTGTGTTCTTTGTTGCTGGTATGTGACGCCTCACTTCGCCTCCACTTTTGCATGTGAACCGCGTTTCCGTTTACAGACAAGTAACAAGGTGAACAGATGCAGAAGCTCTGCGTGAATCCAGAAGCCAGGCTCGAACCACCCTGCCGAGCTGGGTGCGGCTTCCAGGAATCAGTGGGGCCTCCTGTTTATAGAGAACCATGGAGAGAAGCCAGAGGCCTAGGCGCCAGCCCTAACCTTTCCTTCTAAGATCTGGATAATTAAAATTGAATCACATTTTGGCTTCTCCTTTAGGTCTGAGGTGCTTTAAAAAGCTGAACTCCCCCTACATGCCACACTCTACCCCCTGGATCCGCCTGGAGTAGCTCGCTGCTATTTGAAACCTTTACAGTTTTGGCCTTCCTGCCATTCCCTGATTCATTTCATCTTCATCACAGAGAAACTTCACCTTCTCGTTTTCCCACTTTACCCCTCCTCCTCCTGTTCCTCAGTCTCTGGGCAAAGCGGAGCATCATTAGAACCAGCCCCAGGGTTTTAGGAGGATACACTTTTTACTTTATTAAGGGAAGGCTTTTCTCGAAGCCTTTTCTCACCCTTGTTCCTCGAGGTTGTCCATTTGCCCTTTGAAGCTCAAGCACCTGTGGATTCATGTGCATCTCATGCTGAAATCTACTCGCACATAATCTGATGCTGGTAGCTGCGAGGGAGCCTCCGTTTCCTGCCTCCCATCCAACTATCTAGAATCATGTGGTGTCACTAGTTTTCATCCCATCTGCTCTGGGCGCCACAGGGCACACCTGCAGAAGCAGGAGCAGCCACCCACCTTGGCAGCGGCTCTCCATGCTGCCCCCCAGGGCCCAGTTTTCCGTGGAACTTCCTCACCCCACCCCCACCCCCGCCCCAACACACACACTGGCATCTCTTCAGGTCTAGGAATGACATTCCTTCTAGAGAACTGGGGCAATGAGATGTTCCCTTATGCCTGTGTCCGTATGGCCTTGTTCCAAGGCAGGGACCCACGATGATGGCCTGGCACGGTCACACCCACAGCACCGCAGCTGATGGTTTTATTCTAGTTCAGTCATTTTTAGAGCAAAACCTCAAACCAAACCAAACAACAAAACCCCAGGGTGGGTTCTGTTAAAAGAACATATTGGTTTGCTCAATATGTTTTTAAAATTTTGGTTGGCTCAGTAAAATAGATTTGTATTGGTGTTGGGTTTGGGAATAAGAAATAAATGTGATTATTTGGACTTTTAATATACATGTGCTTCCACTGCATATTTGCTGTTTGCTGTTATTTTCTTTTTAATTTCTTGGCGACTGCTTACATGGAACAGTCTGCAGAGTGACGTATTTCTCGATTCTGGCAGAAGCACCACCTGGTTGTTGAAAAGTCTCTAGATGACTGATGGGGGAGTATCCCCATTGCAGCTGTGTCCCTAACATAGTGTCTCCTTGGCAGAGTAAAATTAGGGAGCCTTTCCGAATTTCTCACCACATCTTTCTACACCTATCTGACCTTCCTGGATCCAGACTGTGATGAGAAGTTGTTTGATGATGCCAGCGAAGGGAGCTTCAGTCCTGACATGGACTCAGATTTGGGAGGATATTTGGAAGATGTATATAATCAAGGTAATCAAGGTAATACTTGGAATGCCTTCGTGGGTGGTTCATTCAATTTATTTAAATCGTGGCATTCTGGAAAAAGTGCCCTATGACTCAAGCATAGAAAATGATTGGTAATTAACATAACAAAAAGAGGCCTCTGAAACTTGAATATATTAAAATGAATTAAATGCCAGTTTAAAAACCTAGACTACAAAAGTGGGTT